ATAGCCATTTTATGGGATGGCTTGGTCCAATGGGCGTGGTCTTCTCTGGAGATACAGGTAATAAGGGAGGGAACTCTGTGATCAAGTCAGATTTATTAACAGGTCCCAGTCAATAAATTATACTCACAATGCAGAACTAGGCTGTAATGCCACCCATGAACTGCTGGTTCTCTAGTTCCCAGGGGCAATCGGGAAGACCCAGGAAAGGTCACCAAGCCACTGTCTCAGCAATGCCTCCTCAATTCACTCAAGCATGTGGACCCCCTCCCCTGTTTTATTGGGTCACATATTTCCAGAGAAGAACACTGAGTGAAGCCACCCCATTCAATCAGCTATTGGGCCAAATTGCCACAACAACACTGTTTCCAAAAATCAGTGCTAGCCCCAGGGGTTAGGACATCAGCATATGAATGAACATATGAATGGACAAGGTGGGGAGTCAGTCCCCAGCACTGACCCCTTCCCATTTCACATAGAGGTCCTGGGAGAAGGATTCAAACAACCAAGGAATCCCCAACTCTGATCTGAGTACTGTGAGATCAAGTCAGGAGAGAGGAGACAATTTCTGAGATGTCCCCAAGAAGCTGAGAGAGAATGGCACTGAGCCACAGGTGGAAGAGTAGCTTGGCATGGGGGTGGGGTGGGGGGTAGTGGGGGTCGGGGGTGGCGGGGGACTGGGAGGTGGCAGGGAAGGGGGGGGGGGAACAGACGGGTGCTCCCTTATAAAGGGTTCAGGGAGGAATGAGTTCATATGTGAAATGAATCCATGTGGACAGGGGGAGTTGGGGAACTTTGCTTCCCATGACAACCGCTGTTTTCTTTGTCTTTCCTTATTTTTCTAATATATTATACTGGGTTACAGGAGACTATTTTTGTGTAAGCATATACATGTATTTTGATAATATTCTCCCCCAGAGACCACATCTCTCCTTTTTCTCATCCCCCAGTTATCTCGATCCCCTAAACAGTTTGCTTCTTCTTTCATGATAGATGTATATACATGTTTTTATGTAGCTATATGAAATCTAAGAACCACAAGTGATAGAAGTGGGAGGGCCCCACCCACTTTGGGTGGTGTCACCCGGGCAGTTGGTCCTGGGTTGGATCAGAAAGCAGGCTGAAGAAGCCATGGAGAGCCATGCATTCTTACATGGTTTCTGCTTCGGTTCCTGCCTCGAAGTTCCTACTCTGAGTTCCTGCCCTGACTTCCCTCAGTGATGGAGTGTGGCCTAGATGTATAAACCCTTTCCTCCCTCAATCTGCTGTAGGTCATGGTGTTTTATCACAGCAACAGACACCTCCATACTGATTTCCAACGTGGCTAGACTAGTTTATGTTCCACCAGCAGTGATGAGTGATTCCCTTTGTCTCAGTGCAGTACAGTGTAATCATAATTATCAGAGGATGCTCTGGGATACACACACCACTTCAGAGGGCATCAGTAAGGTTCATGCTCCTACAGGCGTGCTGCTAATGAACACAAGAGAGTTTATTTCGCTCATGGATTTAGAGGGTTTAAGTCTAAGAACAAGAGGCCCCACTGGGTTGGTGAGGGTGACACATTACTGAACAAATTGGGTAAGTGCTCACATCTTTGGCCAGAAAGCACCAAGGAAAGTTACCTAGTCCCCTCTTAACAGTACCCCCAATAACAAGGACCTCCCACAATAACTCCCCACTTTCCAGAGGTTCCACTCTCTCCCAGTAGCACAGCACTCAGGACCAACCCCTTTTATGGGGAGCTGTGGGGAACATTTAACAACCTTTAATCCAAGCACTCAGAAGGCAGAGGCAGGTGAATCTCTATGAGTTCAAAGCCAGCCTGGTCTACAGAGCTAGTTCCAGGACAAGCTCCAAAACAATACAGAGAAACCCTGTCTCGAAAAACAAACAAACAAACACGAAAAACACCAAAAAACAAAAACTAACAACAAAAACAAAAACAAACAAACAAATTAAGCTAGCACCATTCATGCGCATATCTACGGGGTGGTTTACCCCTTAGATCCATGTGCTACATATGCTCTGTGGCAACTTAAAATCACAGCCCTAACTGAGTCTGATTAGAGCTTGGACTTCACCACCTCGATCTTCCAAGACTGCAGGTCTTCCCTTAGCTGCCACATTTCAAATAATCATGGCTATTAGCATGAATATTCCCATTACTGTTTTTATATCACACTGATATTTAAGTAGTAACTTTGTGTCTCCTAGCTACTCTAATCATGCTGCTCTCCTCATGTACAGAGTGGATCTGAACATGGGGAGCCCAGATAGTTTTCACAGGAGTGATGACATACTGAAATTATTCCTAGTACAAAATGGCTAAAGCTAAAAATAAATATATGCCAATATAAGTACTTTACCATGCTGATGAAGACATACACTTCTCTGGAAACCATTGGAGAGTCCCCATTAAAGTTAAAAAAAATACACATATATCACCTAACCGGCGCACCCATGCCTCAGTTTATGCACAATATAGATAGGTAAAGGCCTCTGTAGCAGCACTATTCAAAATGTTTATATTATGCCACATAGGATATTTTTCCAATAATAAATTTGGGACAATCCCCCACCCCAAAATGGGGTATTTAAGGTAAGAGTGTATACTATAGGCCTATATACTTAGGAACTATAGCTTACACCAAAATGCTGGCAAGCAAAACTTCTATTTAGCTTGAGAACCATTGGGACATTCACAGCTTCACATTGGAACACGTGATACCAGTGTGTCCCCAGGCCCAGACTCCCATTTCCACCCCATGTTTCAAGGGCCTTGGTGCCCTCGGTCATGTACCTCCCAGCCTTCAAGCCTACTTTTATCCTATACCCACCCCACCCCCAGGGAGGAGCCAGAGGAAAAGGCCCAGAAGTGGCTAGAATCCCTGGGCTGGGACTACTAGTGTCCTATAACTTTCCATGTGGTCTTGAAAGGCAAGCACAGTCTGCACATTCACACTACCTCTTGGCCAAAGATTCCTTTAGAAGGTGCATGGCTGGAAAAAAGTCCGGATCCAAAGCCCATGGTTCTGCACAGAATCACCCTTGCCCAGCGCTAAGGGCAGCGCTGCCTTTTAGGTGTCGAGAAAGGACAGTAGAGACCCTCAGGGCACATGTCTACAGCCCCAGCTATGCAGGAGGCTGGGGGAGGCAGACCACCAGCTCAAAGCCCACTTAGGAACGTAGGCCTGGTTCAGTAATATGTAAAGAAGTCTGGATATAGAGCTTATGAGTAAAACATTTCCCTAGCATGCTTGAGGCATCAGTGAAAATTTCCAGGGTTCCAGCATTGTTGTATGCTTTCATCTGGGTGTCAGGTCCATTTCTCACAATTTATTAAGGGCTATGTTTGTTGTGTATCATCTTCTACATGCATGTTACATTTATACACACACACACACACACACACCTACATATACAAATATAATTATGTAATTCCTGGTGCTGTACTCTATGACTTCTATCAACAGACTCGGCCCTAAGTGATTGCCTTGTAAACACAGACGGTTTGGCAGTTAAAATATATGCAGGTGTGAGGACCTACAGGGACATGAACAGGATGCTGGGACGGGACATGTAGCTCCCTGCTGGTTCTCTGCTCCATTGGGGATGGAGAAGCTTGGGTAACCATGCATGGGTCCAGCAGAGCAAATGAGTCACAGACTCTTGTCCCCTTGCCATGCCACTGCAAGTGTCTTAGAGGAAAATTCCTTCCCCTCCTCCTTGCCAAGATGAGAAAATACTGTGTTTATGAAGCCAAAATTGCAGGAGGCTGTTACCATCCTTGTAGAAGCAATGGAGACCAACTCCCAGTGCCCTCTGCTTGGAATGCAGCTCTAGAAATGCTTGTCTTCCTCATGAGGGCAGCTGAGTGGGTTCAGGAAACAGTTAACTAAGCAGCTACTGTGTGCCAGATCCATTCCTCACTTTTCTGCTCCAACACCTACTCAATTTTGATTTTGTTCTTGACAGGGGAAACTTTCCTCTAGCAAAGATTTATATTGCCAGCTCTCAAAAATATTTCTACATAGCGTGTGTACTTTAACTATCGGGTTTTTTTTTTTAAAGAATATGTATTTTAATACTAGTCCATAAATACACACACACACACACACACACACACACACACCACTACACCACTCCAAAACTAGATCTTACAGCTGTGAGGAAATGAAAAGAAATTAAAATATTGGCCAGCACTAGCCCTCTGAAAACCCAGTTGATTTTTCTTCCAAATTAAAAAAAAGTCAAAATCCCCATCCTGGTCTACAGTTCCAGGGCAGACTCTAATCCAAAGCTACAAAGAGAAACCTTGTCTCAAAAGAAAAACAAAAATCCAAGCTTTGTATCTAAACTACTTAAAAGTGACATTTCTAAATATGACTTTTCTTTCTTTGGGAGGAAAATGGAAAAGCACATGGCTCCAGTACCCTCACAAGCTGCTAATAATGGGTACAACAGGCACTGCAGGTAGTTTCAGCCAGATTAATAGACACATGGTAAATCGGCTCACAGGGGGATTCGAGATGAGACAAAAGGTGTGGAGAGCAGAAAGCAAGCTAAGTCCATGACCAAAGCCACTGACTGCACACAGTGAAGAGCCCTTTGCCCTCCATTCCTGATGACAAAACCTGTAACCTTACCCACCACTCAAGATGCACCTAATCTTCTCTCCTCTCCTCTCCTCTTCATCTTCTCTTCTTTGTGTTCTCTTGACACTGCATATATGACCAAGGTGCCCGTCACTACACGTTTCAGTCTACCTGTGTGACTGCTTAAGGGCAGGAGCATGTTTTATGTATCTTTAACATTTAAGTAGATGTAACAGGAACTTTCTACGCGTTTGTGTATACACAAATACATGAATGGTGGATCCCATTCATGACACTGTAGGTCTGACTTTCCCAACTACGGAGATGTGACCCTTACCTGACAGAAGGGACTCGACCCTTTCCAGAGTTTTAAACACCTTTCCATTTCCAACTTGTGTCTTCAAGCTTGGAGAACTGTGAGTCTCTAAGGTCAGAAACCTGCAGAGAGGCACGCCGACATTCTTCAAGGGGAGCTATGACAAGGAGCAAACAGGCCAGCAGACTGCAGCCCTGCGAACTACCCTGCAGATCCAGAGCATCAACGCTCCTTCAGAGAAAATGTGGGCGAGGGTGAGTACACATAAAAGCCGTGATTTTGGTGATTCTCTTTTCTCCAGTTTCAGGAGGACCTGCTTGGTACTCCAAACATGAAATTGATGCCCGAAAAGGAAACACGCATTGTACCCTTCAGAGTTTGCTCTATTTGGTGGGTTTTCACACAGAGCATAGGAAATCTTTTTCCAACCTGAAGTCTCTGTTGCTGTCATCTGGATCGAATGAGACTGAGCAGAGCAGGTGCCAGGGCAAACCCAGAACTCACTGGATAAATGGCCCAGCAAGGAAGCTGAACGTACGCATGTGTGGTCTCTCTCTCTCTCTCTCTCTCTCTCTCTCTCTCTCTCTCTCTCTCTGTGTGTGTGTGTGTGTGTGTGTGTGTGTGTGTGTGTGTGTGTGTGTGTGTGAAAGCTTTTCTGTGCTGATCATGCTGAATTACTTCATTCATAGTAAAGCACTCCACAAGAAAATTGACCTGTCCTAGGGTAGAAGTTCAGATTAAAATGTTAGCTGTTCCTAATGATTCAGACCTATAATACCAATGACTTGGGAGGCTGAGGCAGGAGGAGAAGTTCAAGACCTACCTGGGCTACAGAATGAGCTCAAGGCCAGCTAAGGAAACTTAGCAACACTGCTTCAAAATAAAAGGAGGGTCACTGGTACAGCTTGGTAACAGAGTGCTTGCTGAGCATAAGGGAAGTTCTGGATTCAGTCCCAAGCAACACCACACACACACACACACACCACACACACCATACACCACATACCACACACCACACACACACACTACACACACAGGAAAATCAATTCATCTATCTAGATACAGATTCCTAAAGGCTCTTAAAAATAAATAGAAAAACGTGTGTACAAACATACCCATTGACTCCTAAAGGAAGCAGGAATCATGGCATGGAGTAGTGTCACTGAAGGTCACGGAGAACTGCATTTCTATTTAATAGTGTCAGCTGAGAGCCAGCTGCTGGGCCTCTTTAGATCCCTGTCCCCAAACTTATAAAATGGCTATGAGGGGGGCGGTATTTAGAGGGTAAAAAGAAAATTCTTAAAGTGCTGGGCTGCAAAGGAAAAGACAGCTCCAGACACTTGTGCTCCATGTCACACAGAACAGCACCAACTACAGACAAACAGAGAAGCAGGGAGCAGCCATGGCACTCAGAGATGGAAGCTAACCATTACAGAAAATAAAATGTCTGCCCGGAAGTCTTTAAAAACCGCTTGAATTTTCACACTACTGTGGCATTTTAAAACAAAGTGACGACTTCATAAAAATCCCCATTGTTCTACATAAGCCAGCCAGGACTACCTGCTGAAACCCTTTCTTAAAAAAAAAACGAACAAAAACTCCCATAGTGATGGGATGCTAGGACAAAGGTCTGTCACAGAACGGACGCTCCAGAGGTTTCCACTCAGATGAATCACTAATCCAAATCGGGATGAATTATACTATTTACTAAAAACTTCCAGGCCCTTCAACACAACATCAATTCCGGTTATACGCAGGCACCAAACATCAGCTCTTCTGGCTTTTTAATCCCTACCCGGCCAGATCTACTGAGACAAAAACAGAGACAAAAAGTGGAAAAAAACAAAAGCAGTCTGCAACGAGCCAGTGTTTGGTTCCATTGGAGCCCTGCCATGAACATCAGAGCCCTGCTGTTTCACATGCGTGTTCATTTACTGCCCTGGCATGTGAGACCCAAAGTGCAGACCAGTTCACTGCTGGGAATCTTCAACGTATTTAGTCAACTTGTCTTTTGAGGGTCTAATTCCAAGGCTTCTGATGGATATTTTTGTTTTCCTTACCATTGATTTATTTCAACATCCCAAGCATGTGTATAAACACACATGCACACACACACACACACACACACACACACACACACACACACACTATACTAGCGAAAGTAGGATGTAGTACTCAGGCTTCACTTCACATCCTGTAAAATTTTACTTTTTAGTCAGTGGAATTTAAACTTTTGGAAATTATTATCATTACCTGAAGAACAAGGGCATTTATCTGTTGCTATGTCTATTTCTTAAGCAAATGCTTATGGGAAAGATTGAGCACGCATCTTTCAAATCTGCCAGGCTGCACTTGAACCCCAGCCCTGCCACTAACAAGCAGCAGGGCCTCAGAAAGGTAATTAGTTGCTATGTGCTTAACTCACTTCACCCTCAAAATGAGGATGAGAACAGCACCCACCTGGAGGAGTGGTTGTGATGATTAAGTAGGTACAGTACTTCTAATATGACAGCCAAATTCTAGACCGTTAAGGTCTTCCTGGGACACGTGAGTCGCATAAGCTGCACACACCCAAGGAGAGACAGGAAGGTGGGGTATGAGGAAAACTCCACTGGGAGCTGGGCCTTGGGACCCTGCCTTAGGCATGTCTTGGTGGCCCTCCTGGATTTCCTAGTCTCTGCTCCCAGCAGCCAGCAGCAACAATGAAGATTCCCAGACAAAGAAGTGTTACAGTTTTAAGTCTTCATGCCCAAAATGAGAGTCAACATGAGTTGAAAATCACTCGGGTACAAGTTTGGCCAGGACCATCCTTCGGGAAAACCTGTGTAGATGTCATAAACACCCTCAAAACTAAGCTCCCCCTCCCCCGCAAAAAAACAAAAAAACAAAAAACAAAAAACAAAAAACACCTCAGCAAAGAAAAGCAGGCCCAGAAGTCACTGTTCAAATATGACATCAGCAGGCAGTGGAGTGGTCACATCACACCCGCAGGGCATCTGAGGGAGGTAGCAGAGCTAGGCACCCTTTGCAGAGTTGTTTGAATTTATTTGCTTTCAAATTGCCGGGAGTTAAACATTTACCCAGGCACACCTGGCGAGGACTGGTTCAGAAGCCCTGGAAACTGCACACTTGTCCCATTGGCATTCATACTCTGCCCACTCACAGGAAGGCGGGAAGCTGACCATTGGAGTGAAGAGATGTGGTTAATCTGAGGACAAAAAGCCAGATCATACTTCACAGAGACTAAAACAGTCCACAGACATTGTCCCTTCTTCCCAGCAGATACAAGTTCAGTGTCCGGCCAAGGTCAACATTTATTTACGCTGTGTGCTTAAATCCCCTTAAGAGGAAGTCTGTGATGTATGTCAGACCCGAAGGAAACTCAAGTTTCCCAGACTCCAGAGGGCAGTCCATATACCCAGCAATGAGCTCCAAATGGACTATAGGATTTCTTGCAGTTGGAGAAAAGCCAGCATTTCTCAGGAACTTGTGAAACCGGCTCCCATCTGCCAAAAGGCATCATTTCACTTACCTTTGGCAGAAGGGACATATGGTTACTTGTGGCACCTATAAACTCAGTGCTGGCCTCAAGTATCACAAGTACCTGTTACGCATTTCAAAGTCCATGCTAGCATCCTGTCCCTTCTGGCCTTCTTTACCCTAAACTTCCTCCAGCTTATGGGATGCCCCCCCCCACACACACAGATACTCATCCTTATAACCCAGCTATTCTCACTCTTCTATATATCTATGGCTCTCTCTATCTCTCTATCTATCATCTATCTATCTCTATCATCTATCTATCTATCTCTATCATCTATCTATCTATCTCTATCATCTATCTATCTAGCATCTATCTATCTCTATCCATCTATCTATCTGGCATCTATCTATCTCTATCATCTATCTATCTATCTGTATCGATCTATCTGGCATCTATCTATCTCTATCATCTATCTATCTATCTATCTATCTATCTATCTATCTATCTCTTACCCCAAGCACTCTCTCTGATTCCCTTACTCTCTCTCCCTAAGACAGAGCTAGCCGATAAGAAACTAGTACTGGGCCAACAGATTATATCAAATACAGAGCCTCAATGCATTATTTGGGGCTGGCGGCGTGGCGGCAGGACAAGACCAGGCGGCAGGCAAAAAAAAAAAACCATACTCCTTACACTCTACTGCCCTTGTTGTCATGGATTCTATGAGGGAGGTAGATGTACATCACAGCACATCTTGAAGACCCCATCCTCTTGCCCAAGTATCATGTCTTCCAAAACTAAAGCATGTGCAGACCATGTTTGTTAACAAATGAAACTAATTCTCCTTTGGCCCTCTAGTCTCACTGAGGTGTAAGTCAGGCCTCCAAAGCAATTAAGTACAGACAGGATCCCCCGAGCTTGTCTGGGGAATGAGAAGCATCTTCAAGAAAGGAGTGCCTTGCAGATGTGAAAGTAGCTGCATATCTGGACCAAAGTTTCTCCTCCTCCTCAGACAGCATTGCTCAAGGGTATCCATGTCTCACTACAGTTCATGAAGTCCAACTGTGGGATTTGCCCATTAGGAAGACGGACTAAGGTCTTGGAATGGCAGGAAGGTCTATGGAGCAGCAAGTGACCCCACAGTGCCAATGAGTGTCTCCTTTTTCCTGAACGCACCTACCCCTGATTCAACACCAGCTCACAGGGGGTTTACACTGCCATCTGTGGTACTCTTCCCCCATGCATAGGCCTCGTTTATTCTAAAAGCCGATGCTTTAGTGATTTCCCAATAATTGTCCTTTTACTCCATCAAAATAAGGGACGATGGAAATTGTGTGGGAATCCATTAAAGGAAGAACAGACACAAGTAGGCTACTTTCCCAGCCCATCAGTAGTCACTCAGGCCTAAGTCCCTTTCCACACGATGAGAAAGATCCTAAAGGGGCAGCAGTTAAGAGCACCAGCTGCTCCTCCAGGGGACCAGGGCTCAGTTCCTCGAATCCCTGTGATAGCTCACAATGGTCTTGAAACTCCTGGTCCAGAATATCTGTTGCCCTCTTCTGGCCTCTGCAGGTACTACACACCACACAGTGTAACATACAAACATGCAGGTCAAACACACTTCAGATAAGAAAAAATCTTTAAAAAAAAAATCCTAGAAACAGTACAACAAAAGTCATGTACACACCACGAACTCTACGGTGTCCATGTGTACCAACTCTATACGAGCATCAGAAACTGGGGAGAGAGACCCCTCTTGCCCTTAGGTTT